CCGAGATCAAATCGTGATCCCGGATCCAATAAGTTCCCGTCTTGTCGCATCAACCCAACCCCTGTCCACCTGTCCCGGCCGGAAGGAGAAACTCCGAGTCCCGACCGTCATTCCTACACGTGCCCCGACGCGTCTTGAGTTATCAAGATACAACAACAAACATCCTGGCTATCGCTAAGTCCAGACCACTTCAGGTTTTAACTCTTGTGCATGCTTCCACATTCTCTTGGTCCAAGTCTAGCATTGGCTCATCCAGGGCGCAACCGTGGGTACCATCTTGTGAAGTCAGGCGTACTTCTAGAGCTATTCGTAATCTTTACTTTCCAGTAATTTCATAACGTTCGCCTTTGTAGTAGCCTTAAGCTATTCGACTTAGTAGCTTTCCCGCTCGAGACTAACGGTAGCTCTCATTTGAGGTGTGTGCGTGAGGTAGAGCTTTAATGAAAAACGCAAAAACTGCGCCTTTCATGGGTGGTCATTTACACGGCTTATCACCGCCTCTCCGTATCCTCGGCGGATATTCCTTTGCTTCGCTTCGTCCTCCGACTTTGCGAATCTTCTCCGTTCTCGCCTCCGATCCTCCAGCCGGTATTCTTCCGATTTTAGACCAACTGGGCCAAAAGACCACTATATCGCGTATCTCCGGCTCTCGGATCCTCGGGCGACAACTTTTCTGACTTTCGGAGACTTCATTCTCTCGCACGGAATCTATTGCTAGACGATGGGACGTCTACCCTTAAGGGGGGGATAGGACTATCAAAATTCTGCAATTCCGATGAGATTCTGAATTTCTACGTCCGAATCGACGCTGATTGCGCATTCAATTAGCTCTTCGACGCAGCATTCTTCCGAATTCTCCCAGTCGTACGAGCCTCGGAGCTTCTCCGGGATCTCCTCCGACACTCTCCTCGCACTGGTACTCGACTCCGGTTATCAACGCGCTCGATTTCCATACGTCCGCCCCTCGGCCGACGCACTCGGAGCTACCTCCGACATCGCGCATCCTCCTCCGGACATCGACTTCACCAATGTGCACCTCCTGAAGACATCGACCCTTCATTTCCATTTTATATCCATGGTCCTTGATCTACACCTCCCTAAGCCTACTCCGCTTTCTGGCTATTATCCAAATCCCTTCAAATCCGTGTAACGCACATCACGGAGTTCGTCCGAACGACCTATGAGCCGACTTCAGGACGACTTCTCCTTCCACTTCTCCTCCGATGATCGGCTCCGACGCCGATCGGCGGAGCAGCATGATTTGACTTGGGCTACGCTAAGTCCACTTCAAATCTTGCTTACACTTATATTCTCAACTCACACGCATTTCGGATTCAGGCCGAACTCGGCCAATTCGTTCGATTCGACTATTTACAATCAAGAAAAGTATCTACCGAGTCATTTGCTTTTGTGACCCTTTGACGCAGGGCATACGGAAGTCCAAATCTACGCATCATCGCCCCCTCCCGGGCCGAACGGCTCCGTCTCTTCCTCGTCACCTCCCTTCTCCACCTCCGATGCGGTCGGAGCTCCTCCGCCGATCTCCGGCGCGACTCCACCCATCTCCACATCCCCGGCGGTCACCTCCGACTCGGTCGGAGCACCACCGTCCACCTCCATCCTCGGCGCTTCTTCGCGCACCTCCGACGGCGACCTCCGAGCATCCTCGTTGGTCGGCTCCGGTGTCGGAGTTTTCCTCGTCCCGGAGGTCCCAGCGACGGGACTCGCCTCCTTCGCGACCTCCGACGACACCACCTCTCCACCCTCCGCACCTCCGATCTCGGCCCGGCCCATCGGGTCATCCTCCTCCTTCGGAGGGAAGCGGATGAGGCCCTCCGTGTTCAACGGAGGCGGGAAGAGATCGTTGGCGATCTCCGCCAAACGCGCCTCGCGCCGCGTCGGGACCTGAACCCCCGAGAACTTGCGCCTGCGCCCACTTCCCCGCGCAGCCCTCGGCTTCTCCCTCCGACGCTCCTCCGGCCGCGACCTCGCCTTCCCTTTTCCCTTCGGGTCGGACCTCTCCTCCTCCGACTCCTCCGACTCCTCCGGCTTCTCCTCCGACTCCTCCTCCGACTCGCTCCCCTCCAGGACGTACCGGACACGAGCCGGCAAGGGACGCCCAAGGGGAAACTCCACCATCGCACGACGGAGCATGTCGTCGATGGCCGCGAGCTCCCCCTCCCGACCTCCGACTCCGCGGAGCATCGCGAGGAGCTCGTACAACACCCGTGTACGGTCCTCCGATGCGGCCATCCGTTGCCACATCCGCACGTTGTCCCGCTCCAACTGCTCGACCAGGAGACGCATCTCCGAAGTCCGAGTCGGCAGGACCTCGCGCGGGGGCAAGGCCGGCAGCCCCGACTCGGGAGAGACCTCCCTACGCCTCTTGCTTGGGCGGGGAGCCACCTCCGAGTCGGAGCCGACCTCCGTGGTCGGACCCGATCCGCGCTTCTCGCGCCGCACGCCCTTCCCATGCGAATGGGAGCACCCCAGCTTCAAACGGCGGCACCGCTCGCACGCGGTGATGTCCGCGTTGGAAGCCAAGAGGCACTCCCAATTCCCCTTGCGACACTTCGAGCAAACTAAAAGATCGGATCCGGTTAGGTCCGTTCACATCCGACGACTGCGACGCACCATTTTTCGTCGGAGCCCACTTGATCTTGAACAAGGGGCCACCCTTCACCTCCCTCTCCTTCCTCTTCCGCGGCGGCTCCATCTCCTCGACCTCCGGTACGTCCGATGCGGCCGCCAACTCGTCCGGCTCATCGGACGTCGCACGACGCCCCTCCGGCTCGGCGAGCGACGCCACCACCGGACCCGACCTCCTGCCACGGGACTGCGCCGCGAATTGCGCTCGCATCTCGTCGAGCTGGCGCTGGAGGCCATCGGCCCGCTCGCGTTCCGCAGCAGCGGCCGCCTCCGCTGCCTCCATCGCCAGCGCCGCAGCCTTCTTTGCCTCGCGCACCTTCCGCTTGCGCGCCTTCCTCGCCTCGTCCTCGCGCTTGCGCGCCTCTCTGGCGACGACCTCCTCCTCAGGGGTTGGGATCCGCCTGTTGATGTCCGCCTCGTCGGCGGAGGCGACGTCCGAGTCGTGCGACTCGTGCGTCGGAGGCGGGGACGGCGGCGGCGTGTTTTTCGGAGTCGACATGGTGGTTGAGAACAAGATTGATTGATGACGAAATTTTCACCGTGGGATATTTGGTAATCCTAGCAAGTTCACCACGTGACTCGGCACCTCTGCACTCTCGGCATCTCGGCGCCTCGACTTCGACTTTTCTTCTCCGACATTCTTTCCTCCGATGTTCCTCCGACATGTCCGACCATCACCTCCGACATGCCCGACCATCACTTCCGACATGTCCGATCATTACCTCCGACGTCCTAGCCCATGTTCCTTGTGGGAAAGGAACGTAAGAGGGGGATACTGTTATATCCGTGCATCGGACCTTGGGACTCGGCTCTCGGAGCTCGCCCGACCTCCGACGGCGGTCGGCCGACGGAGCTCCTCCGCCGACTCAGCTCCACTTCAAACTCCTTCGGACCTCGTGTTCGAACCGGGTTTTTACGCAATGAAGGATTACTGAGCGTTTCCCGTTTATCCGTCTTCTCACTTATTGTTTATCCTCATGTTCTAACTTCTATTTCCTTTTTGGTCAGTCGCTATTGTTGCGCTTAGACCATCATGATATTTCCTTATATAGATACATAATAACCTCCGATAGTTTAAATACGCCACCCGGTCATCTTGTATCTTTAGTTTGTTAATTAACGTTGTATGACACGGCACTCTTCCTCTTAACGTTTCTACTTGGCAAACCCGAGTCAGCTTCGTACTAGAGTGTTCTCCCTCCGACTTCCTCCATACCTCCGTTCTACCTCCGTCCCTCCGAAGAGAAGGATTCCTGCTACAGGCTCTCACCCTGCTGTTTGTGGTGTTGAGTGAAACCTCCTGCACGATCCGGTCGCCACCTCCGATCTCCGATCGTCGATCCCCGATCTCCGACCCGACGCCTCGGCGCGTTATCCTCGCACGAGTTCCTCTGGTCACCCGGTCGGCCGAATCACTCCCTCTTCCTAGTCCCCTCCGCCGCGTATATAACAGTTTCTTCCCAAATATCTCCTCCCCTCTGCTCCTTCGAGTGTGGTACTGCGGCGGTCCTTATCGCTAGAAGGCCCACCGAATACTCCCTCAAATAAACCAACAACCCGACTCCTCTACCCACCGACTGCGGGTACGAGTATCCGGCTTGTCGTTATATCGGAGCGCCCGGGTTATCGACCAACGTGAAGTCCCGGCTGGGATCGCCGATCACCGTCTCGTTGAGCCAACCTAGGGCTGACGCTGACAACCGGCATCTGGAAATGCGAACATCTCGTTCCCTTGTTCTCTGAGCCCTATGACGCTTGTCGTTCTCTCTCATCTTTCTTATGGACCATCTCGTTTTCTTGTTCCATGGAGCCTACGACGCCTGTTTGCATCTGGATATGGACACCAAAACATTATTTGTCGTCAGCTGTGAACCTTCTTCTGGAACTTGAACACGCTGATATCTTGTGCATGCATTCTGCAAAGGGACAGACATCCTACAGCTCACTGTGACTGGTGGACACCGGGGACATTATTACCGTCCGGGGAGGAGGGCCCCTCCTCCCGCACACTTGTGCACCACGATCGCTCGTGGTTGGGCGCCCACGAGGTTTCAACCGGAGGTCCCGCCTATCGACAGGTCGGCCAGTTCGCAGTAAGTCTGTGTTGCGTGTCATCGACCCCCTGGAATGGGTAAGGATAACCATCCGTACATTACTTGCCTGTTTGTCTTCGGTAAACTCGTTGTTCAGACATTTGGACCACACGAGTATAATAAATCCCAACGAAAAAGGGTAGTCTTGGAGAAAAAACCAAGAAGATTATTGTCTCGAATCAAGAGGCTCACGCGACTCCAACGTAAGAAGATACTTGGCTTACAAGGTTGCCAAAATGGTAGTGGACGAGCGAAAAATACACTCAAGGGGAGTCGAACCCCTGCCGCTTGCTTTGCTATTTTTCATGGAAGGCAAGCATGATAACCGCTTCACCATGAGTGTCTGTATACAGGACTTGATACACAAGTAGGTGGAACGGTTGGAAGACTCCAGTGTCGACGATCGTTAACGAAAAATGGTTAAAATGCACTAAGTCAGCATCAAAAGTGGACTTGAGAAATTTTCCGTTAAAATAGTTCATACAATCCATCGGTGGGTAAAAATGCACTAAGTCAAGACCGAAAGTGGACTTGTGAAATTTCTATTAAATTTCCATTCAAATCCAAGAGATGCTTCAGATGCTTTTTTTTTCGAACGTGCACTAACTCCCATGCAGCTCCTTGGCGCACTCATCTGGGCTGGGCGCCGAACTCACCTCAGGCAGACGTTGAGCTTCATCGAAGTCGAACTCAAAGAGCGTAAAACTATTGTTGACTTCTCCGTTCTTGGGCAGCGGCGCCTGAGAGACAATGCAAGCGCCTGTCACTTGACGGTCAGCATGGCGGCGGCTGACGACTGGCCTCCTAAACTTGTCCAGTACAACAGTACTACTCGTCAGGGAAACCAACTCTGTCTCACGCCTCCACTTCCTCATTCCATGATGATTGCAGTGTCAAGACGGATTCCTACCGCCAAGATAATGTTGACTCTATTCTTCCCAATTTACCCTGATTTTGTCGTGACTGTAGTGCATTTACTCTTTCGCCAACACATCCTGTTGGGCTTCGTAATTCTTTGCACAAAGCTTCGATACTGATAGATGCATGTACTTTGCTTGATACCATACCGCCTCCTAGAGAACCAACTGTCAGAACACTAATATCTGCCAATGAGCGCCGAACCTCTCAGGCTACTGGCTTCTTCCGCTGTTATGGGTCTCCGGTACTAATGCGCTCGTCCCGCGCATTCCTCCTCCTCTCTCATTCACCCCCTCTGCCCCTTTGGTTCTGTATACTTTGCTGCTGCACCAGTACTGGCGTTATAAGGCTGACATTACGTCCGTCTTCGAAACATCCGTCCTTCACACAATAGCAGACATCGAGTTCCCGGCTCAAGCTGTCCTTACCGCGTACTTGTTCTCCACTATGTGGTCATACTACCCACTGGTAGCGAATTCAACCCGAGTTCTTTTCCAGAGAGACGCAGGCGTCTCCCGGGATGACTCTTGCTCGCTGGTGAGTAATCGTTGGTTACTTTGCAAGTTCAGACGCTCAAAATTACCGTGGTAGTTCGGCAACGACGAAGGTTTCGGACCATGCGACTGGGATCCGGACAGCGCATGTCGCGGTGTGTTTCCCCTGTACTGCGCCATTCGCAGTATGTTCTCATCCTTGCTCAAAGGCTCGACCAGGGAGCAATGTATTTGCTCCGGCGTTTCGTATCTCGTATGGGCTGCTTGCGATGCTTGTGATTCTCCTCCATTGGATACCAGGTACATATGTTGTTGGCTTGCCTTGAAGTTCCACCTCGAATTTCACCCGCGCAAATTGCAGTTGGGACGATTATAGTCACACGGACGACTTTGACTGCACCGGTTTACCCCAACAGTTGGTTCATTAGTTCCATTCTCCAGTGCAATGGACTCACCCTACATGTTAGATTTCCCCGTCCATTCCCCAGTGAGTTCTTATCATTGACGTACAATCGCAAAACTCAGTCGCCCTGCAATTATCAGCAGGGTCAGATGCGGTTCCATCCTGGGCATTGGCAATGGCTAGCGCAACCCCCACGGTTAGTATACATATCTTCCTCCGATGTTTCCTCTGAAAACGCAAATAGCCCACAATCTTTGATCTGGACGCGGCGTCTTCTTTCGTCGAATCTCCGAATCCCATTCCATCCTCGACTACAGTGACAGAGCAGACCTCAACCACTTCTACAACCGCCCTGACTACCAGTCCACCCACTTCGCAAATCACGACCAAGCCCCTCTCGCAAAGTACAGTGCCTCCAACAGATGGCTCTCGCTCTCCGGCATCCTTCCCTTCTATTGTTCCGTCCCACTCGCGAAATATAAGTGGGTCGCAGAGTACAGTGAATGCGCTCTCGTCTATCGCTAGCTCCAGTACCGGTGGGAACATCGCGCCGACGAGCATTGGCGCTCAACAGCCTTTATCCGCAAGCAGGTAAGCATTTCCATGGGTTGCGAGAAAATGTCCACGCCAACACCTGTACCGCCTCTAGAAGTACATTGAACAAGGCAGCCATAATTGGAATCGTTATCGGAGTCTTCTTTGGCATTGCACTTGTTGTGCTTATACTATGGCTGTTCAGCCGACGCCGACGTCGGCAGGCTGCGCGGAGTTCCAGCCCATTCATCGGTAGCCCCGTGGACCATGATAGCCCCGCCTCGACTACCAGCGCTGTGGATGCTATTCCTGATGCATCCAATCTCAACACTGCTCTCCCACAGCGCTTGGAAACTGTACCCGATCTGGGGGACACGGCATCAAACATAGAGAAACCGCTACGTCCGCTACGGCGCACCCCAGGCTTGAGTATTTCTACCGCACGTAGCACGTCGACAGACTCTACAGCGATGGATTCCGATATGAGGTCACAGCTGAGAGAAGTGACGGCGCGTGTGCGTGAGTTGGAAGCGCAATTGGAGGGACCGCGGGCCCTTGCGCCGAGGCCGCGTACACCTCCACCTGGATACACGGGGGAATAATTTTGCAAAGAGAGTATGATTTACATACACGGACACAAATCCATGCGTTTGATACAAGGAATTGAACGTGGACTCAGTTCCATGACTTGCTCCTTTTTTTTCAAGTTCAAGGCCGTGCTACTCGGTTGAGCCGGCACATTAAACTTGGCATTGAGCTTCAGCGTGGCAGGCCTCCGACGAAGAGTGGGACTTTTAGTTTCAGTACGTCAACACGTGCTCGCGTCTGCGATCACACGTGATCGTGGTTTGTCTTCCCACGATTCGTCACCGACGCTATCGCTGATTCGCTCCCACTTGGCTCCCACTCAACTCCCACTCCACCCTCATTGCTCCTGCTGTGCCCGCCACCGGCTACATGTGCCTCAAAGTGCCTCAGCTCCGATCATGGAGATCGAGGCTTACGCCAGGTGTAGGCTGAGCTCCTTTTCGATTCAAAAAAAAATCTTTTCGCGATGCTCAAGTCAAGAGGGCCAACTTTGCAGGCTTGGATAGGGAGGGGTGCAAATAACTCAAGGACACCGTGGGGCGGCACTGGAGCCCCCGGATGAGTGCGGAATACGAAGGTGGCATCATAATGTCCAGTCGCTCTTCCTCTCTGAGTCTTCGGCCAGAGAGGTTCGGATTGGTGCCTTCAGTGCGCTACGTGTTCCAACGCCAGGACTTGCCTTTTGCCGACGCTGTGGACGGAAAATTTATCGAGCACTGTGCTTCGACCTTCTCCCTCCCCAACTTGAAGACACTGCACCTTCGTCAAGCAAGAACTAGCGAGTCATCATTCTCCTTCGTCCCGCCCCTCGATTTTGCCTGCCTTTCTTGTTTGGAGGTGCCCAGGCTTTTTCAGTCCGCAAAGCACGGGAATGCGCACGACAGGAGCGCAAGGAGCGGTCGTGCCGCTTCTAACAAGGCGCAGTTGCATATCCCGTCGCCAGAAGTCCGCCCTGCGCGCAGACGTCAGGAATGCTGTGAGTCGTCGCGGGGCGGCCGTACCTCCGGTGCTTGCGGAAGCTAAAAGAGCGCTCCGTTCACATCCCTCGTTATTATAGGTCGCCGGTGTTGACGACTCGGAGACAGACTCAAGGAATTTGAGGCTGGTCAACACACCGGTCCATGCGGTATAAGCTATCGGAATTAACGACAATTCATTCACTGAGACGTCGCATCAGGCGTATCATGACGACCCACAAGGATCGTGTTTGCGTCGTCGTTGTCGGTGAAGGAGGGCAATCCCAATCCGGCAATTCCGTGAGAGCATCCCGATGCACGCCAACACGGATTTAACGGACTTGCGTCCCCAGCTCGACGAGAAACCCGCACGGATTCGGATCCTCTAATCGCTACACCGCCGCGCACCGACATGTGGTGACACCAAAGGCTTGCTTTCATCGCTCTTCCAACCGCTCCTCCTCAAGGGACTACCCCAAAACTGTGTCGTTGCCTCTTGCTCGGTACCCAGTTCGTCCCATGAATTTTTTTCGGGTGGGGGAACAAATTGATTCCCTATGTGATGTCTCCGCTTCGGGGCGGCAGGACCTACAGCTGGACTGCGGAAGTCGATGAGTGTAACGGCATATATCTTGAGTCATCCCAAATCTGGTTGCAACTGCTCCATATGTCCTCTATCGACGATCCCGTGCATCGGCCCCGTCCAATGCTTGCTGTTCATTCGTTGGCGCTGCAATCATCATCCAGGTCTAATACCGTCCGTTCCATTTTTGCCCGCGCCCTAGACCATACTCTGACAGTTCCATGTTCTGCAGTCACCCATTGCTGTGTTTTCAAGCAATATGGCTCAGGAAGCCTTCGGGGGATGAGCAACAGTCCGGCCGTTACACTGCTCGCGCCCTTTGCTGTATGCGGTCCTTCGCCTTTCGGAGCTAGTCGTTTGGACTCTATATAAGCTACTTTCGTGGGGCAAGGCAACTCACTGTCCATCAACTCACCCATTATGTCCCGTAGAAAGGAGGTCCACTGGCACCTCACCCTCGACCAATACTCGAGCTATGATTCCCCGGAATCATGGACGTCGACGTCGGAACTTCCGGCAACCCACATCCCACACACACCTCCGCCCCCTCCCCCGCGACCCAACCAGAATCTCCCTTTGCCCGGCGCGTTCAGCATCCATCCGTCACTGACGCCCGAGCTCGCCTTGAAGCTCGACTTCTCCTTCCCATCCGCGGCCTTCCGCGCCAACCCGCAGTTGACTCAGGCCTTGCTAGACGAGCACGCATGCAAGCCGCCGCAGAGTGTACTATACCTTGGCATCTCGGCGGGGCATTACAAGGCAAATTTTGACGTCCGGAACCCCCGGCGCGGTGTAACTGTCGGCGATGTCCTCACCGTCATTCAGAAGCATTTGCGCCAGTACGACTTCGGGAACGCGCCCCGCGAA